GGCGCGACGATTATTTCGCAGTCTAAATGATTTTTTGTAAATATTCTATTATTATTTCTGGAAAGAACACAACCTCATCTATGGATTCTCAAAATTTCAGATTTTTGTGCATGTTCGTCTGAGCACAGAAAATCGCCAAAGTTGCCTCTTGCAAAACGCCTGTTTCTTTGTGCCTAATCTCCCTGTTTTGAGAAGACGGGGCTCAATGCTGGGCCTGAGGGCCCTTTTGCAGTTCACATGCCCTCACTTCTTTTTGGGGTCCGCTTCTACCCGAGGACCGGTCCAATGCCCCCCACTTCTTTTTGGGGTCCACTTCTACTCGAGGACCGGTCCTTCGTTTTTCCAAAAGTCCCGGTTCTACCAGAGCTAGCTGTAGGTAGTCCGCAATTTTGGGAAGGACCGGTCCCCCAAATTTTTTTGCCCCCTAAGAACCCACTTTGCGTCCTGGTCGCCCGCCGCCAAAAATGCGACACCTTGACACAGACGCCGAAGCCCACTATACCGCAGCCTAAGGGCTGCGAACTCCCACCCAATGGTGAAAGTATATAAGCAAAACTCCTAAACACAATTGGCCAATTAAAGAGCCTATCAAAGCGATTGAGCCAGCCAGCCGAATCACCTTTTTTAATCCAAAAAGCCCTCGCACAAATTTTTTGAGAGGGTTTAACGCAAAGTATCGCTAGGAATCCATAAAGAAAGAATTCCTAAGCAAATCATAGGTTGAGCCGGATATTTGCGAATCATTATTAATAAGATTTATTAACATTTACATTTTTTACATAAATTTTAAAACCAACTGTGTTCCACAGCCCATCACCATGTCCTGTGGTTTTCGCACACAACCAGAGCGCTCCTCCACCCCACCCACCCAACCCACCTCTCACAATACCGGAGCGCTCCCCCACCCAAATGGAGAACAGGTAGGAAAGACAGGACCCCCGCGACCGGGAGGGAGACGGGGTGAAAGGGAGGGGGGGGAGGGGGGCACACCTTTTGATCTTCGCATACGTGGCATGACACAGATCGGTTTTCTCTGTAACGGACTTTATCTGGGTCTTGAAATGTTCGCCTTGAGCTTCCAGCTTGTTCAGAATCCCTGTGAGCTGTTCATGCTTATCTTGCTGAAGCTTTAATGCCTTGCGCAGACCGTCGACCTCACCATCCAACTCCATGTGCTTCTCCTTTTGCTGGCGTAGCGACTCCTCCACAACCTGCTCATCAACCCCAACCAACCAACCAACCAATTAACCAACCAACCAATTAACCAACCAACCAACCAACCAACCAATCAATCAATCAGTCAATCAATCAATCAGTCGATCAATCAATCAATCAATCAACCAATCAAATCAATCAAATCATCCATCACCTGACCAATCAACCATACCACTTCTCCCGACAGCACTGTGGGAGAGTGCCGTGCTGTATAGATAATGGCATAGACTGAAGCAACCCCCCAGAGTAGGCTAAGTCGTGACTCTTTATCTGGGATGGGTACCCTAAAGTTGAGAGCAAAAAGTGCCAACTCTGGCCTGCCTTCCTCTTCATCCCTCCTTGTCGTGCTGAGAGGTGTTACAGCACCAAACAGACATTCAGAAACCCACACTCACACACACACACACACACACACACACACACACACACACACACACA